ACTCGATACAGTCGTTGTTGCCTCACTCACAAGATAGGGCCTTTCCCCATCGTATGGCTGACTAGGAACATAGAGCACAAATCCCTGGAATGACCATTCATGGTATCGAGAACGGCGCCGATGACGCTCTGCAAGGATGTGGTCACATCCACAATTCAACGGACGAAGTCGACCGCTGTCCCTTCTTTCATTTAAAAGCCCCTTCCAGCAGATGGAAGACGAGGTCGCAAACTTTGAGATAAAAGAGTTAGACCAAGCCTGTTAGCCAAAATGCCTTTGCATTACACCACTGCTGCCTAGTCCGAGCTCCGATCGCGACGAACTAACAGGACGCCAAACGTCCATTGCCCGAGCTTCTACTAGCGAACTGAAGCTCTCCACAACCTCATTCAAACGGTCCAGGGAAGCAGACTCGACCCGAGCTGCTGAGCGAAGCGTCCTATTAGCCACCTAAAGTCCCCACACAAAACAAAGCAGGGCCTTACCCTCTGCTTCTGTTGTAAAAACATTTTGCATTTAGTTAGTTGTAATAAGCTTTCCTTATAAATACAAAACGAAAACTCCTTTCTCGGCAGAAATCAAATTTTCACCCTACAGAAGATTGGCTACCACAGTGGGACAGCTGTCAATCGAGGTGAAATGGTGGTAGCTCAGTTTGATGAGGTTACTTATCGGGACGACAGTAAGAGTCCTCGAAATCGACGTTTCGACCAGGCCAAGTTTTTACGAGAAATACTGTCCTCCTCCTCTCCTCTGGGTGGCCGATGCTGTTCCCGCAAGAACGCCACACAGCTTGTTGCGCCTTGCAGGGCCGACCTCAGCTCGTCAAGCCTCCGCGACCCGAGCTTCTCCAACTGAGTCCTCATCTGAGAACCCACTCCCTCGCCAATCGATCAAGCCAAGCCAGAGGACTGCACGCGCTAAGAGCGAAGGCGTTTCTGCCAAGATGCGATCGCCACAGCGATCCACACAGGACAGCCGTACCTCGTGACTGCAAGCGCGGCTTTCACTCGCGGCCACAAACCGCAATACAACAAGCCGACGTGTGACGTTCTTCCCCGCTGGGCAGAACTAACCTAACAGCGACGCGCAAACACCCGTTCAGAGCGAGGGGGTTCCAAACCTCCATTTCTCATAATGGACTTTGCAACCATCACACAGGCCCGAGAAACACTAGACAGCGAAGGCACAAGCTGCCCGACCTCGCGAAGGCCCTCTCAAATCAGGGAGCGTCAACCGACGGACCAGCAGAGCATCCGCTCAGGAGGACTTTCGCCTTCTCAGCGTTCATATCCTGATGCCGAACAAACCACACCGAGCATTACGAGCCTACGCCAAGTAGGCGAATCCTCGAAGGCTGGCGAGCCTCGCCATAATCATTTTGGCGGTAATAACGTAAGGGAAAAAGAAAATAGGCGGGTTCGCTTCCCGAACTCCGCTCTTCGCTAAACATGGGGTTGAAACCTCGCCGCACGTACTGGAGTATCACTCAAACGCGAAGGACTCGCCAAGTCAATTCGAGGATCCCCTGACCTCCTTAACACCGCAATGTCTTTCCAGGTCCCAAACGACGCAACGAATAAATTTCTTTACGAATTGAATGGTCACCCATCTTTTGAAGACTTTAAGATACTAATAAATAGAGATGTTATACTAGATTAATGTATTTATAACTCACAAATAATAGACCGGTCTGAATTGAAGGAAACAATAACGATAAGATTATTAGACCATAGTTAAGTGCACACATCATTATTCCTAGGCAATATAGTTTATATATATAAATTTTTTTAGATAATCTATATAGTGGTTAAAATTTTTTAATTTAATATACTATTTTTTATAAATTATATTTATTGTGAACCCACCATATAATTTTGACTGTGGTCATCATAAATTTAATATGTTTGATTAATTGACTATAAATGTATATAGACTATAGATTACTTTACTTTCTCACATGAGCTAATATTTGATGTTTAATAATTTAAATTATTACCTTTAAATTTAATATAAACAGGATCTCTAATAACATTTATTTATTTACCTATAGTATAATACAATCTTAATTTTTTTGTTGGAGATTTATTTCATAGTTAAGTGTATCAAATTAGTAACTAAAATAATAATTAATTATGCTTAAATTAGGATAATTATAGTTGGTCACTCACTATGAAGTTTTTATGAAGATATATATATTATTTTTTATAGCTATCTGCACTGCCTATGTATAATTTACAAACTACTTCTTAATTTGACACATTAAATTATTTTTTCTTGTAGAAATTTTTTCTTTGACTTTTAGACTCTGTAATCACTATATCACCATTTTAGCGTAGAAAAGACCTCACTCTAAATGGCTTCAAGCTAATGTTTAAGTTGAACTGAAATACATACTATTGCTACTACGTGTATATATTTTTAAGAAAATTATATCTACACTTTTTAAGTAGAAGAGAGTATTCTAATCTCTAATATTATAAAAACTAAATATAGCCAATTGAGTGATTAGCAAAAGAGAACTTACATCAGAAAAATATGAATAATAAGATAAAAAGGAAAGGTAATAACATTGCCAACAATATTACAAATAGCAAACTATAATGTAAAGTTAACATATTTTGTGGAGCCCAACTACTGACTATAAGCATTGAAGTTTCCATATATATACTTTATAATTTATTTAAAAATATCATATATAGTAATATCGCTGTAATAATATCGTTATTAGGAAAAATTCTTCATAAATCAATATGTTTGTTATATAATCTATGCACTCTAAATTTTTGTGTCTTTTATAGAGTCAAAACATTTGAATACGAGCCTCTAACATGTTACTTTCACCACAACAAAATCCACTTAGCAGATGTGAATATTCCAGACGAGTTATGTATCCTATATACAATACAATTGTCCTAGGCATGTGAGTTATAAAAGTATTTTTTATTCACATCGTTTAGGATAAGATTTGATAGGGACCTTGTATCAAAGAAAAAATATATATTTAGAGCACATAGCGAAATATATCATAATCTTCCTGTTCTAATTTCGTAAGAAAATAATTCTTCATACTTTCAGTTTTACTTCTATGATACAGAGAATGAGCTATAAAATTGAGTGAGAATATTAGATAATATAAATATGAGTGAAACAACAACTAAAAGTTAATGTGAATATGAGTCAAACTACAACTAAAAGTTTAATGGACATATTGCAAGTAAATTCATATGCAAAATTCTTTTACGAATTGAATGATCGCCCATCTTTTGAAGACTTCAAGATACCAATAAATAGAGGTGTTGTATTAGATTAATGTGTTTATAACTCACAAATAGTAGATCACGTGGTCACAGTCTGGGTTGAAGAAAACAATGAAAATATTTTATTTAAAAGAGAGATTATTAAGTTGATGATCAATCCCACAAAAAAACTTTATTTTTACTCTATTGTTATCAATTTAAATAATCATGATATTCAACCATGTGCATTGCACGTGCATCTCAACTAGTATATATATATATATATATATATATATATATACTAGTTGAGATGCACGTGCAATGCACATGGTTGAATATCATGATTATTTAAATTGATAACAATAGAGTAAAAATAAAGTTTTTTTGTGGGATTGATCATCAACTTAATAATCTCTCTTTTAAATAAAATATTTTCATTGTTTTCTTCAACCCAGACTGTGACCACGTGATCTACTATTTGTGAGTTATAAACACATTAATCTAATACAACACCTCTATTTATTGGTATCTTGAAGTCTTCAAAAGATGGGCGATCATTCAATTCGTAAAAGAATTTTGCATATGAATTTACTTGTAATATGTCCATTAAACTTTTAGTTGTAGTTTGACTCATATTCACATTAACTTTTAGTTGTTGTTTCACTCATATTTATATTATCTAATATTCTCACTCAATTTTATAGCTCATTCTCTGTATCATAGAAGTAAAACTGAAAGTATGAAGAATTATTTTCTTACGAAATTAGAACAGGAAGATTATGATATATTTCGCTATGTGCTCTAAATATATATTTTTTCTTTGATACAAGGTCCCTATCAAATCTTATCCTAAACGATGTGAATAAAAAATACTTTTATAACTCACATGCCTAGGACAATTGTATTGTATATAGGATACATAACTCGTCTGGAATATTCACATCTGCTAAGTGGATTTTGTTGTGGTGAAAGTAACATGTTAGAGGCTCGTATTCAAATGTTTTGACTCTATAAAAGACACAAAAATTTAGAGTGCATAGATTATATAACAAACATATTGATTTATGAAGAATTTTTCCTAATAACGATATTATTACAGCGATATTACTATATATGATATTTTTAAATAAATTATAAAGTATATATATGGAAACTTCAATGCTTATAGTCAGTAGTTGGGCTCCACAAAATATGTTAACTTTACATTATAGTTTGCTATTTGTAATATCGTTGGCAATGTTATTACCTTTCCTTTTTATCTTATTATTCATATTTTTCTGATGTAAGTTCTCTTTTGCTAATCACTCAATTGGCTATATTTAGTTTTTATAATATTAGAGATTAGAATACTCTCTTCTACTTAATGAAAGAGCTCACTAGATTGAAGTTCACATAGGTTTCTTCTTCATGGGCTATACAGTAGGACCAATCACCAAAAACAAAAAGGCATGGGTCACACTGGGTATGAATGCCTATGTTAGTAGAGTGATGCTTTTGCATAATAGCTTCCCACCTACCTGCATTCCGCCTCTTCAAGAGGAACTGTTCAACCTTGGGCGTTTCATCACGTGAGGGCCAACAAACCGGCCCTTTGGAAAATTTTGTTGTTTGAAAGGTTAGTGAGGGATTAAACTCCCTTAATTCTTCCACTAACCCGTTGCCAAACAGTGCCTAAGATTTTTGGCTAACAACCCAAGCAAGAAATAAACATAAATCCGTACGCGTCCTCCCTTAAATTTACAAATCAAATCATCCGGCCCTTTACAATTGTGCTGAACCAAAACGCCTCTATCGGATCCGCACACAACATAAAATCTAAACCCTAAACCCGCTACCACAAGACTACAAAGAAGAGAGAGAGAGAGAGAGAGAGGAGCTCCATCACAAAGCGCAGAGAATTTGCACTACAACGCAAGCACAAGCAACGTCATAAATTTTTGACCAGCTCCCTCAACTCAGCTCTCCCCTTAGTAACTGTAGGCTGTGAAGTCTCAGTGGGAGCTTCCATTTACTGTTCAAGCTGTTATTTTGGTGGAGGAGAAAGGAACAGCTACCTTTGTGAATGTTAGTTTTTTCCCCTCATTTGTTATATTTGATTTTTCTCATTTGGGTACGTGATGGTTCTCAAAAATATTATGCATGTGTAATGCCTTATTTTTGTTGGGTTTAAGGTTTTTTCCCCTCCTTATTATGCCTCTAAGTTTACTATTGTTTTGTCGATGGGCTTGTTTTCTTCACCTTAATTTTTTTTTTCCTTGATTCAGTTGATGGTGTCTTTTTCCTTTTTAAAAATGACATTTTTTCCATGGGTTATTAGTTTCTATGAAATATTGTAGTTATCTGTAATCTCTCTGTTATGGATCATCTGCTCTCCTTTTTTTCTTCTTTTTTTTTGGTATTTTGTTTCTATTGTGTGTTTAGGTCCTACTTGTTCATCCTTAAGTAGAGAATAATTAGTTTTAAGGAGCTATAGATTGTGTTCATCTATCATCGATGTTTGAAATTTATTCTGAATTTCTTTAATTTTTAACTGATCCAAAATCACAACTCTTTGTCGCTTCCTATTTCCTAGCCTGGAGAAATGAACCATTGTGCCCCTGATTGGAATGCAGAGGATGATTTAAGATATTCTCATGAGCTCTTTTCCAAGCCAAATGAGAAGAAATCTATGCCAGGGTCAGTATCTACTAACTCTCTTCTTTTTTTCTTTTTTAATAACAAATTTAATTAGTTTTTCATAACTTTCGCGTTATCAATATTATCGCAGACCAGACAATGAACTCTTGGAGCTCCTACATAGAAATGGGCATGTTTCAATGCAAAGCCAAGCCAATCCTGAACCATTGCCACAACCTAATCAAGTTCAGAGATCTGATCTCAAACCGATCAATTTGATGCATGAAGATGAAACTGCATCA